TTTTCTTTGAGTTTTTGCACCCTCTTAACAACTATCGGCTTATGAAGACAATTCCCAGAGAATTCTCATACACAGACGACAATAAATAAATCAAACGGGCTTGATGTGAAATGTACACGTATTATTTGTTATATAACTTTACTTCTCCGCAATGGGTTCTGATTGATGTGGGATGTACGTATATACGTTTTAATACTTTTTTTGACGAACATTCTTTACAAATTTACACATTTTCAATTAAACATTCAACTATAATTAAAATCATAGATATACATTATATATTTTAAAATAAACTAAATATGTTTCTCCAATATAACACCATTTTGTATATAACTACTTTTGCCATTTGTCTTTACTCACCGACAAATGAAACTCCTGAGTTCGTATACATGAACTATTACTTGACTGCCGTATAATGCCAGTGCTCACGGATTTCGTCATTATTTATGTATAATCCGTTTGCTTATGTACTTATCGAAATTTTATTTTCTTATCATTTAAATGTATGTTTTATAAGTGAAGTATACGGAACAGCTTAACAGTAACTTCCATGTAATATATATAGCATTGTAGATAGAAAACAAAATGACGAAAGCGTTTATCTCTACAGAATTTGGTCCCAGATGATCACTACAGTTACAAGAAAAAAGGCCGCATTGGTGAACATTTGACATTATATTAAAGTGCTCCTTTGATCATAAATCTGTTAATATATGAGGGTTTTACTGTAAACTGGCTACTAGCCCTTAAGTTAAGAAATAACTCGCTCCATTTGTCTCCTAGCTTATCTCCCCTTACTCCTTTTCTTTTGTCTTAAAGATCAAACTATCAGATAGATTTTCAAAAAGAATTTAATTTCATATAGACATGGCTTAGTCTAGTTATTTTGGTTATCATTATATTACATTTTCTGCGTATAGTTTTCAGTGAAAAACAAAACACATCAAAACAAAAACCAAAACAAAATAAACAAAACAAAAAAAAAAACAAAAATAAACAAGAAACTTATGTCAACATAATCATAAAACAAAGTCAGAATCAAACTAGGGCAACAGGTATGGACAACAGTTGTGTCGTGTCTCTAGGACTTAAGCAACCTAAATATTAAAGCCTATGAGTTTGTATTGTCACATGTCATATAATTCTAGAACAGCATCAAGTGTTTTTGTATATTCTGAACAGTGCCGATATTCCAATGAATTAAAACGTTACATGAAGATTACGGCAAATTTTGGGGACTTCATATTTTCTAGAACGAAACTAATGGAAGTCTCATTGGAAAGTGAGTACTCTGTATTTTTCTTACCTCAGACGGAGAAGTAGCAAATTCAGAACATTAAGACGCGGAAGTCTACTAAGGTCTACCAGAAGGTTACCAAGGTCTACCAGAAGTCTACCAAACGTAAATAGGTTTTATAGCATTAAAATAGTTGAATATTTACGAGTAAGTAAGTTCATAATCAAGTGGGGTTTTTTTTAGCTAAAGCCAACGTTATCATAGTATTTTCCGCTGTTATTGTGAAAATTTGTGTCACTGAGCCCAGGATTCTTGACGTCATCAACAATTAAAGAGGATGGACTTTCGTTGATATTTTACTATTATTCATGACGCGTGCAGGTCAGTCGCGGTCATTGACGTTGGCTTTGCTTCGAACGGAGAAAAATATCAACGACATATTGCAAATTTGGAATCACAAAGTATTTGTTCATAAACCGTGTCACCCAAAATGATTCAGATTTGAACACATCACTCAATCCTGATGCAAACTCGTCACATGTTTTTAAGGCCCGTATTTGTTTTATTGTTGCTCTATCTGGATATCTGTGAAATGGGGAAAATATTCCCTAACTTGATGGAGGATAGGACAAAAAACCTCCCATCTCGACTATCTAGACCTCGTACAAAAAAAAGGGTTAAGACAATAATATTCCCCCAGACATAGATTTTACGTTACTGTACTATCCTTTAGGTTGTAAAAGCATCGGGTTACGCTCTAAAGAAACGCCTCTTTCTGTAGAGATTCCTGTCGTACTTAGAATTTTGGGAAAGCCTCGGTGTATAGTCACATATCGCATCGAGTAGAAATATTTCCTAGACGTACGTTTAAGTTAGGGTAAAGATCCATGCCCATATTTGTTGATAAAGTTATCCCATGATACATAGTTTTGGTGTTCGATGTGTGAAAGGATTATTTCAACACTAGTGGGATCTTAAGGTTCTAATTTTTTTATCAAATAATCTATTTAAAAACACTGAAAAATTTGAACCGTGTTGTTGTTTTTACAATTTTAAGCTATAAAGAAATATATTCACTATTTCATCCCAATGAGGGTAATAACTATACAAATATCGTTGATGAATTTGTTTATTTGTTTACCAGCAACATGTTGTTTGAGATTTAAGTTTGGGTCCAACGTCAGAAAGGTAACGCAAATAACGGAGTTCCACTAATGGTTCAAAATAGTGATATTAGCTTGTTTTGAAGGCGGTTATCATTCTCGGAACAGTCGCAGTCATATGAGAGCAAACGTCAAGAGGACAAGAGTGATGTCCAAGGACAGAAAACACGTGCAGAAAATAAAGAGAGTTTGAAGGTCCCAAATATTTCCCAAAACAGCAGAAGTGTATATCGGTCTCTTTGTCGCTCTGTTTGAAGGCAAAGACCCTCAGATTTGTTGGATTCTCATAATTTTAATATAAAAAACATAATGCTTTGAGTATCTTCCTGTATTTTTACTGGAGATATTCTTGGACATTTCAGATCAAATCTTCAGACGCATTACAATTATTTTTGCTACTTCAAGAGGTCCCACATACATGGTGAATACTTATATCTATCCTTCAACTACCTTGCTGGATTCGGCAGTGACGGAAAACAACTGTGTCTTAGCAAGTGCAGTAATTGCATTCTGAATTTACTTTGAAATTACGTTTAATAATATAAAAAAACAGTTGAAATAAACGATTTTACATGTTTTAATGAATAAGTTTATCTACGAAAATTCATAAAAATCGCTGTTATATCCGTTGAAGTTTGGAACACATTTCTGCGCGGAGCAATTATTTTGGCGTATGTAACATCAGACAAAGTTCAGCGTAACGTCAATGTCAGGTAAATAAAGATTGAACCAAAAAACTGATGAAGTTTAGATGGTCGGATTTTCCAATCAATGCTGCAGGATAAATAGAATACATGGTCAGTGTCTTGAAATATAAGCTGCATGTTTGCTCGGAACAGAAAGACAAAGTGGCTCGCAACTTTTGTCTTCCCCCCACCCCTCGCCAAAATACAGCTATTTTAAGACACTGACCATATATTCTCTACATCTTTATTATGAATCCGATGGCATTTATTGCCTAGTCACCTAAATGATGTCATTAATCTACTGTAAAATACAGAGTATCCCTTTGGTTTTTGTATTGGATAACTGTGAAAAATAAAACCTAATCTTGTAACACATTTTATATATCGCTGCCAAACGCAGGAATATTTAGAACTGTTGTCTCCCTTTTGAATCACTTACCTTGTCAAGCATCTACGTTTTCAGTGATGACATCAGCAAACGAGCTTGTTAGTTATAAAAAAGCGTATATAATCTTCAAGCACCTTCCACCATTTGCATATTCATATGCACTTTGCAACGCATTGTGATTAAGCCTAGACTTCATAGTGGGTCGTTTAGGCAGCCAAATGATATATGTGTTTAGGTAAACGGAATGTACTTCAAGTCTGAATATATTTTCTAGGGCTATATAAAGTCAGCAGATTAGAAATAACATTGAAACGATGATCAATCGTTTTCATACTTGAAGCCAAAAATAACGTATATTTTTTTGTTTATTTGTTTACTAACTCAAACTGCCAGGTGTTCTTTATATAAGAATCTTATATGAACTTAGTGCACTGAAACCATTACTAAGAAATATTACCTTCAATTACCACTCACTATAAAAAAAACTCCGACATGTCAAAATGACTATTTAAAACTCCAATTTGATGAATCTAGAACAAAATAAGAACAACAAATATCTACACAGAAACCAGTCCAGGTGTTCTGGAAGAGTGAGTGTCTTCTGCTTCACCGACAGTCCTCGATATGTAAATCTTTCTCAAGTTATGCCAACAATGTTAACAACACAGAAATCAACGACACATCTATAGCGTGATAGGGAATAATGAATCACCTTACATATCACACTAGTTGGTGGTAAGCTGTCCTTGTTGGCTTCGTTGAAGGAAATTATCAGATTTTTGTAAAAGGCTGATGTACAAGAAACTATTATCTCCTAGATTTCCGTTGCCAGGTTTCGCACACGTGCAATGGACATGGTCCATAAATATATTCTTATCTAATGATAAGAAAGCAGTATATCTAAAAGTGAAACCGAAGGACTTTGCATGGTTACCTTTTTAAAAATCACTTCGATTAATTAAATCTGGTATGAAAACGAAATTAAACAAAGAGTGCGACATACTTTGATCTCATAGGGATGCCGATAGTCTGTAGGAAAACCAGACAACTAACCTCGACGTCATCCGAAATATTGACGAATATGTTGTTAACTTAAACATCGGTAATTCGATCATCACAAGATACAGATTGGAATGTTTGTATATGATGGTGTTCCTAATTTTCCTTAAGTATCTTAAGTATTTTTGAAGTAAATAACCCTTCCAAAACACCAGGTCTTATTTTTCTTGTAATCCTTAAGGTTCTCTGGATTCAATTTTCGTCCCCGTTCACTCAAATTGAATTTGAATGGAGATTTTCTGACACATCGATATATCAATTAGTTCCTGAAAAGCTTGGAACTCTTTTTTTTGTTAAATCGAGCTCATTATTGTGCATAGGGCGTTTGTAATATGAATATTGTCAATGTAACCTTATAACAAGGAACCCTTTCATATAAATTATTAAAATACGCATGTTTAAATACTATATTGTTCCTTGTTTCTTAATTATGTACAACTTTCAATAAAAATAACAAAGACGTCACATATAATCAATACTTCATTTGTTAACATATTCTTGGAAATGTAAACAAAAACAAAATAGCGGTCTCAATATCCCATCAACAAATATGCTTGTGTGTACGATATCTACACAAAGAGAGACTAGTTTGTATGTTACCTCTCTATAACGTTTGAAATGTGCATGTGTAAACTTCATCAGTATATTTAAAGTTTGGGTTTACGTGTAGTACTGGCAAGCCAGATATCAGAAGTACAATCTCCGCCTGGGTATCTTATCTCATGAGCCAACGCTGGGCCTTCTGGTTCGTTTCCGAAATCCACAAAGAAGTTCGGATTAAGTTTGAGTCCCCCTTTTCTCGTATCGACGTCAATGGCGAGCATCATCGTACCTTTGCTGTAATAACCCGGATTGTAAGTATGTTAGTACAAGCATGTGTATATATATATATATTTATATATGTGTGTTAATACAGGGCCATGGATCGTTTGTGCCTACCACCCAATTTATTACCCACTTTATATGCAGAAGATCGGCATTGACACTCTAACACTGTAAATTTTAACCAACATCCTTTCAGTTTACATAACGACTAGACATTTGTGCATTTGACAATTTGAATAAATTAGCATATTTTGTGCCGACTTAAATCTGATTGATGCAATACTGTTTCGCTCTCTGTGTTTGTTATCAGAATCGTTTAAATCGTTAGATGTAGGTCAAACGACCCATGACACTTCCCCGTTCATTGTACTTTTTGTAATCAATCACCAATCCTAAAACATTAAAATACGCATATACTACAGTCGAACCTCATTATCTCGAAGTCAGCGCGGGACCATTGGAAAACTTCGAGATAACCGACCATATAAGTAAGTTCGAAAGTTTTGTGTAAAATTAGACAGGGGCCGACGAAATGCGTCACATTAAACGTGGTTTTTTGAGTTAAATGAGCTCGAGATAACGAGATTCGCCTGTATATATATGTAGTTAGTTATACATTTACACGTTTTATCTTTACACCGTGTACACAGCGTGATGTAATACTAGCAACAGCCTTGTGCACTTTTTTTATCAGCCAAATATCAAGATATTTATTATGATGCAACGATACGTATTTTAAGCAGATATTGTGAGATGTGAGTATACATTGGACAAATTACTGCTGATATTTACATAAAGTTAACATGTAAGGTAACTTGTAATAGAGCCAATGCGAAGCATAATAATAATGTTAACTTCCGGGAATTCATGTAGATTATCTGTCTTTTTGTATTATAGGCGTTCTAAGTGAAACTTTTTTCTCATTTGCCGATTTAAAAGGCTTCTTTGCCTCATTCAAACAACCTCTACAGTTGGGTCAGTGAGGATACACCAGCAGAACAAATAGATCGGTACAGCTCGACTAAGATAAGAATTACCTGAGGAGTTCCGGGTAGAACTGTTCGTCCCAGGATGATATTTACCTGATGAGCTATTACCTGAGGAGTTCCGGGTAGAACTGTTCGTCCCAGGATGATATTTACCTGATGAGCTATTACCTGAGGAGTTCCGGGAAGAACTGTTTTTCCCAGGATGAGAATTACCTGAGGAGTTCCGGGAAGAACTGTTTGTCCCAGGATGAGAATTACCTGAGGAGTTCCGGGAAGAACTGTTTGTCCCAGGATGAGAATTACCTGAGGAGTTCCGGGTAGAACTGTTTGTCCCAGGATGATATTTACCTGAGGAGTTCCGGGTAGAACTGTTTGTCCAAGCATGAGAATTACCTGAGGAGTTCCGGGTAGAACTGTTTGTCCCAGGATGATATTTACCTGAGGAGTTCCGGGTAGAACTGTTTGTCCAAGCATGAGAATTACCTGAGGAGTTCCGGGTAGAACTGTTTGTCCCAGGATGATATTTACCTGAGGAGTTCCGGGTAGAACTGTTTGTCCCAGGATGATATTTACCTGAGGAGTTCCGGGTAGAACTGTTTGTCCAAGCATGAGAATTACCTGAGGAGTTCTGGGTAGAACTGTTTGTCCCAGGATGAGAATTACCTGAGGAGTTCTGGGTAGAACTGTTTGTCCAAGCATGAGAATTACCTGAGGAGTTCTGGGTAGAACTGTTTGTCCCAGGATGAGAATTACCTGAGGAGTTCCGGGTAGAACTGTTTGTCCCAGGATGATATTTACCTGAGGAGTTCCGGGTAGAACTGTTTGTCCCAGCATGAGAATTACCTGAGGAGTTCTGGGTAGAACTGTTTGTCCCAGGATGATATTTACCTGAGGAGTTCCGGGAAGAACTGTTTGTCCCAGGATGAGAATTACCTGAGGAGTTCTGGGTAGAACTGTTTGTCCCAGGATGAGAAGAGTGACGTAGTCAGGTAAAGACGTTTTCCGTCCAAACTCAACTGTATCATCTGCGGTCCACCTAAGATTCGTGTACCCTTGATGAAGGCGGGTGCTGGTTGTTCCTGAAAATTATGGAAATAATCTCTCACATAAAAATGTGTAAGGTAATAAGTAACATATGTCTTAATTATTGTCATTAATTAATCTCAGTGTGACTATAAGCGAAACAGCGAACATTTAGTATATATTTCATTAAAAACAATCGTTTATGCTTGGACATGCAGCGATGAGCTTAAAATGAGAAAATTGTTAATGAACATATCTGTTGTCAGTACACTTATCAGGGTTACATAATAGTATGTGTTATTAATAATTGCTACGTTTATATGTTTATTTCTAAGCCATGTCAAAACGCGGAAGAAGTCAACAGTCGCACGCGTTCATCTAACAATTTATATCATGTATGAGTATACTAGTGTAGGGACAGAATAACACACAATAGTATTCCTGGTGGTGACATAGAGGTTCGGGGCTGTCGACGTAAATCAGTCAGCTTGCAACGTGATGACACATATGTCTAACAGTTGTAGCATTAGAAGTAATACACCATGATACACTTGTAGTTTCACATCTGCTGGCGATGTCAGTTACAGTCGGTGAGGTTTTCCGAAACACGTTTTTAAGTTCTATACAACTGGACATTTTCACTATTCAACGAGACAGTAAATGATCTCGAAAATTTTATCCGTGAAATATTGTGACAGGGGTGCCAATAACCGGAGGATATGTAGGCGAAAATCACAACAGATGAAACAGATTAAATGTTATGTGATACAGACTTACGTGGTACTAAAGAAATTAGTTCAGAACATAATTAATAATTAGTATTTATACTAATAATGACGTCGACTGGTCATTCAACAATCAAATACTTGAATTTTCCGTAGCTATATTCCAGAAAATTGTGCACATTGTGAAATACGAATTCGTTTGAATCAAATTCTTAACTTTTTAAAAGAAAATCACGACATACAATTGACTTTATGGCATTTGTCTCTTCGTGTTAAAGACTGTAAAGGACAGTATTACTATAGATCCATTTTCTTCACCTGTGACATTTAACGACTGCAATTATTTTAATTTAAACCTATTCATAATTCTAGTGAAAATGTTTAAACACATTGCGGAAAGGATAATTGATTGATTACCTAAACATGCCGGAGCATTGATTAATGAGTGCATACGCACACTATATATCATATGCGAAAATATCATAGCCAAACTGCAAACAGTCAAACCACGTATCAATTCTTGACTTTAATTGGAAGGGACAGAAAGAAAAATACAAGAAGATACAGGGCAATATATTTCTATATGTATTATCTGTGAACAACCTTCTGTTGGATAATGTTCCTGATTTCGAACAATACAATTCTGACGGTAACGATGTTCTTAGCCGGTAAATCACCTCTATTTTGTAATATACAACTTAGGCTATTAAATGACATTTCGCTCATAAACCTTTCGGTGATTTGGGATGTTATTGAATACTGTAAACGTTCATGTTTTAGCGTGATTTTGAGCTAAAATATTGCTCTAAAATATGATTGCCCTCAGAGCATTTTATTGATGTTTGAAATATAGCAATTGTTGCAAATTCTGCATTCATAATTACGGTAGGTTTTTTTCAAGTTAGTACATCACTAAAATTCGATGGCACCAAAATAAGTACACGATCAGTAAGTGACCCAACTGACCTTGACATAGTATAAGTCACCAACTGTTATGTATGGTATAGCCCCTATCAACTCACCTTCAACTCCTTGTCTTCTGTGACCTTGACATTGCTGTCTTTGCAAATACTTCCTCCCAGAAATAACTGTAACATAATTTGAATAAAGCACGCATAATCCCATTATAGTATTTTTTTAAAAATAAAACAAATTCCGAGACAACGCCTCAACTTTAAAATAACCTTATTCTACGTATAGAATAAAATTTTCATATTTGTAAAACGATTTCGTTACCTGTCCCACGAGTTTAGGATTACGGCGGTCTGTGATGTCATATTGTCTGACGTCACCATGCAGCCAGTTACTGAAGTAAAGGAACCGGTCGTCAAGCGAGAGGAGGATATCAGTGATCAGCCCTGTGGGTAGTTGAATATGTCATGACTCATGTAGGTGTAATCAAAAGTATGAAATAAATATATAGGTATGTACGTACATACAAAACACACACAAAAATACACACACACACATACATACACATACATACATACACACATAAATATACACACACACATACATACACATACATACATACATACATACATACATACATACATACATACATACATACACACACACACAAAACACACACATATATACATACATACAAACATACATACACACACACACACACACACAAACACACACGCACAAACACACACATACACACACATACACACACACACACACACACACACACACACACACACACAGTCTTTCACGTCTTTTTTAATTCAATATACTCAGACGAATCTGTTATATTCAAATTTCAAATAAAATGATTTTCCAGTATAGTAATATGCGTTATCCACATCTGTGTCCTTTCGGTATGTTTATATGCTTGCAGTCATTTTGATCACATCTGATACTGCATCACATACCTGGCATATCAGGAAGGGCCCAACCATTGACCTTTTTAGGAAGTACTTGGATGACCTTTTCGGCACCCCACGTCCTGTCCTGTCAATAGATAACAATTTCAGTAGTTACCTTTTCGTAAAAAAAAATATTTTAAATATTCTGAAAACAGAATATTCCTAACGAAACAAAATCCGCCAGCTTAAAATTGACATATGCATGGACTCATGAATAACATTGATAAGATCGTGGTAGTTTGAAACGCTTGTCATTCATATCAGCGTGGCCAAAGGAATTACCACTACAACAGAAACATGTTTATAAACAATAGAAAATACACATCTGGAATAGGACATATACCCTATAGAAATATTGTATATCAAATCATACACACCTGTTTTCTGAAGAAGCGGAAGATGGAAGAGCTGAGGGCACAGCCAACGTACCCCTCTGTAGCTAGAGGATCGTGGAGAAAACGAATCTCAAGAGGAATCAGGCCCTCGTTTCCAAGTTCAATTGTTTGTACAAGTTCATGTGTAGTCCAGTCCCACACATTCAGTGCGCTTCCATAATTACCTGAATCCAAATCGATAGAAAGCGAGATAAGTTTTACCATATGTCTATCCTTTTCCCTACGCTCTGATTGGTCGAAACAACTTTCATAGGTCTAAATATACATATCGATGTGTCTCCGGAACAGAATCCGCCATATAGTCTATGTTGCAAGTTTTGACCAATCAGAAACGTAGACTGTCGTCATGTGATACAATGTAAATCAATATTGACTTTTTTTTCAAGTGACAAAGATGCCGAAGAAAATATCACCTTCGACAGGTCAGTTTTTTATATCACTAATAAAATGACTTTATCCAGATCAATGTCCTCCTCTTGTCTAATGTATGGTAATTCTTCTACATGTCTTAAGGTTAGATAAAGAAGAAATCGTCCCCCGAACATTACTTTTCTGCAGCAGTCTTAATAGGTGGTAAATAAGCTGATCTCATTGAAGTGGTTTCCAGTGTGCTATGTTAGCTGGGTGAATAAGCTGATCTCATTGAAGGGGTTTCTTGTGTGCTATGTTAGCTGGGTGAATAAGCTGATTTCATTGAAGGGGTTTCCGGTGTGCTATACTTTACTTAGTGACACTTACGACTGTTGAAGGGGTTTCCGGTGTGCTATGTTAGCTGGGTGAATAAGCTGATATCATTGAACGGGTTTCCGGTGTGCTATACCTTACTTAGTGACATCTTACGACTGTTAGCTGGGTGAATAAGCTGATCTCAATTAAGGGGTTTCCGGTGTGCTACGTTAGCTGGGTGGATAAGCTGATCTCATTGAAGGGGTTTCCAGTGTGCTATGCCAATCTTAGTGACATCATACGATTGTTAGCTGGGTGAATACGCTGATCTAAGGCTTAGTCTCAAAACTAGGTGTCAACACTGGAAGAGCAATTCAAACATACATTTTCTGTCACTCGTATATATTGACTGACCTTTTGCGACATCGGCAGGGTTGAAACCGTTCCGGAAAGAGCTAGGTGCGCCCCATTCTGTGCTGATCATGACGTTATGGTACGGTTGGTACCAGAAGTCGTAGCCGAATCTGGCATTCTCTTTCTCCCAGTTTCCCTTTATGATAAACGTCTTCCCGTCGACAAGCACGAATCCACCTGCACCATCACAAAGTTTGTTATTTTTCAGAAAATTGATCTTGCACGAAGGTATACACTTCGATTTTTATATCGATTTTCTACCCGCAAATATCTCAATATTATTTTTGAGGTCTGGTCATATTTAGAGAAATTAAATATTGGAAAGCGTTTTTATTTTTGTACCTTTCGTGCAACAGCGAAATCAAGCGATTAGAACTTGTATGACTCAGTATATCGGTCACAGAACTCGGGACTAGTACAATCAGAACTTCAGAAATCCACGAGACAAGTAGCCCTAATGGCACTAACCTTTCCCGTTTCCATCCGGGTCCCCCATACAGCTGATCATGATATCCCCACTGGCCAGACAATGTGACGTGTGTGGAGCTCCAAGACCACATTTATCATGCATTTCCCAGGGCTCAATACTCTAAATTAACAAACATGAAACCATTTCTTATTCTCTGCAACATACACTAAATAAGCGCTATATACTCAGCCTGAACAACATTAACAAGACACAATTATATATTCTAAAATAATAATATAACAATTAAATCCAATTGTATAATTTTACTTATCCCCGATATACTCGACATCAATATTGGAGACACTAAAATATGACATCGAAATGTGACGTGGATAGTATGATAACCACGTCTCTTGTGAAAACCATAATTATCTCCAACATATGAATGAAAACAAGCACACTATCCCCTGAATACACAACAACATATCGCTATTCGCCCAGCTCGATGCTATTAACGGTGTGTAACGTTGGCCACTGTGTACTATCGTATATACTGCCCGCATGGATATATAACCACGTGAAAGCAGTCTTTTAGACTTTGTTGTTTCTATTTTCTGCAGTTAAATAGTTTCATTATTCTGTAAATGTTTCTATTCAGCATATGAATGTCATCACCTAACTGTGCACAATGTCAAAGCTTTCTGCCTCAATATGAATTTCACATCATAATTGATCACTAATTTATGACTACACAAACGAAAACAACAAACAAGAAAACAGAATCTAGACACTAACCGTTTCCAGCTTTGGAGCCCTAGGGGTGTCACCCACATTTACTACATATATCCGGTCACTGTTAACGCATGGTAGAATCAGTTTGTCACGGGTCTGGGTCTTGTCACCATGGCAACTAGAGCACGTGTTCCAGCCGCTGTGGTGCACTTCATCGCTCATATTAGGCATAGGTAGACGATGTATTACCTGAAATTAATCATGACTTTTGCTTGTGATGTTCTCATAGAAGAACACTGTACGTATTTCTGTATCCTTATGAACTACAGTCTAAAAATAGTGTGCAATAGTGTCATTTATCTACTTTCATTTTTTTTTTTAAACATATGCTGAGGTCAAAATATCGCTTCGTTATGAAACCTTTTGGCCTTTTGATGAGGTCGGATAAGGTTATGTTAACCTAGGGTAAACTATCAAACTGGGACAAAATTATATTAAAAAACTGCCATAAGTTAAAGAACTAGTGAATTTCATGAAATCCTTTTAACAATGAAGAAAATAACATCAACCAAACACACCTCTCTCACAGTTATATACATGACGCTTTTCTAGTGTCATCACACTGAACTGTCACAATTTGGATACCGTAGTCTGGCATCAATCAAGTTGTATTATGTTGACACCGGGCTAACAAGCAGAGAACTACCTTAGCATGCCACGACCTCGGAACAATACCTATAGCATCTCTCACTAGGAGGATGTTCACCACTAATACCAAAAGTGAAAGAGTTTACAAAGGGATATGAAGAAGAAAAAAACTAAGAAATATTTAAGTTAGTCATATCTTACGATAAAGCAACAGGGACAACCATCACAGATATTAAGACCAAGCTGATATAGGGTTGCGGACACACAGCATTAACAAATATACTTTTTCTTGGGATTTAACGTCCTTTAACAGCCGAGATCATTTTTGAATTGAATACCAAAGTAAAGAACAGAACAGATATAAGAGATATAAGAACAGATAAGAGACATAAGTGTTGAAGCAGACGTAATTTGGTCTCTTCGATGTTCGGTTGGTAAAATAAGGGTAAAAACACAACATGTTGAATATCAAAATGTATCAGTAGTTTAAATGTAACGTGAAACAGTACCTGTAGGATGTGTAACTAACTCTAAATCTAGATCAGTACCAGCTTATACATTTATATATATCATTAATCAGTAACATTACCTGGCTGTAGGTCGGAGATTTCGGATCAACATCGACCGTGACGAGGTAGTCTGCCTGTTTGCCACGCCTGTCTGGAGGAATGATGCAGGGAATGTACACGATTTCCTCTCGTGGGGCTTTCGTCATAGCATCGAGGGGTGTGGCATACCCGGGACCTTCATCGCAACACGCTAGAATGAGATATCCAATGATGGTCATTAATTGCAAATTCAGGGTTATTAAATAAAATCGGCTTTCAAGGAACGATGAACAGGTTTTGAATATAATCCGAAATTTTCAATCTAGATAACCAATATTTGGCCTTGAACCTGCTCATTTAAAACAACCGTATGACGGTATTTTCTTTGTTTAGTATCTAGACTGACGGACATGGGTTGGAGACATCATGATGATAACATTGTTAATTGGTCACATAACATTCGCTCGTTTTTTCCCTGAGGATAGGGGTTAGAAAATATCCGCTGTGTCCTACTGCATGTGGTAAAAGTCCACTAAAAGGGACAACCTGTCTGCCGTGGGTTGCGTCCCGTTAGTACTGGGAGAAAGGATCCTGGTGGTTGAGGGGCGATTATGTGTGTTACACTTTATTCACAAGCAATCTTGCATGACCTTCCCCCAATAAACCACTTTGGCCTCTATCTCAGTAAGACGGGTGGTCATTGTGGTCCTCAGTGATCAATCGGCTAGTCATGCCGAGCCCTGGGCCAACTTTACGTCCTAAGTGTCAAGGTTTTTTCCTTTTTATTTCACTCAACCGTATAGTTATCTATTTTTGTAGCTTTTAGTTTACAGCCGTATCCCAAAAGGTGGTGGCTTAAGGGTCAATCGAGAGAGTTTGTGTATACTACATGTGTATCCTTGGCACTCGTGTACCGGAGATCCGTACCGTTAGTAGTGTCCTTTTGTTGGACTCCGAGGTGGGTGAGGAGCACAGGTAACAAAAATCTAAACACCTAACTATGGGCATGAAACAAACAAAAAATAAATAAACGACCGTGTCCTTCATCATCAGACTAAGAAGATGATTTCAACCAGTTCATCTTCATAAGATCAGCGAAAAAGGATCCGGGTGAAGCGAGATGGCAGTATCCGTGACACCAATACTTTCGTTCTTACTTTTAACACCCCAATTTTATCAAAACGTGTAAAGGTTGGCTTCGAGAGTGTTGGTGTGGATGTTTACATTCCAAATCTTCTGCGATGCTTCAGTTGCCAGACCTTTTTTTGATTTGTCTTTCCATCCACATATTAAATACCTTAAATCCAAATGCCTTAAGACACCGAATGTTCTAAATGTAGTGTCCCACATTGGTTTGGGAGCTGATAGAAAACTTTTGCTAAGGCTTTATAAAGCTCTTATTAAATCAAAGTTAGACTACGGGCTCATTGTGTATGGATCTGCTAGACCTTCACATCTCATATTATTAGACACTGTTCATCACCAAGGTCTGAGGCTCGCTCTCGGAGTTTCTAAGCCACAGCAAGCCTCTATGTAGAGGCTAACGAACCACCACTATATAGCCGTCTAAATGAATTGGCTTTGCAATACACCATTCAGCTAATATCAAATCCTTTACATCTTACTCTTTCACTTGTATTTGATCCAAAATACAACACCTTGTTTCAAAACCGACCAAAAAACCACTCCACCATTCGGTATTCGGATTACCTCTCTTTTAATAAACACACCTATTGATATTGATCCCATTCAGTCATTAGGAATGATAGAAATTTCACCCTGGCTCTTGAATTCACCTAAGTTGACTCCTCAGTTCATGAAATGGTTAAATCAGACACTGACAGTTGCACCTTCCATTCATCCTTCTCAAAATATTGCAGTTAAAATATATTTCTACAATTATTTCCAGCTTGTTCAAAAGATAATTTTAAGGTTGCCGTGGCCATGGTTACACAAGATGAAATCTATGCATGCCGGCTATCGAACAACGCCTCAATATTCTCGGCGGAAGCGCAAGCTGTCTACCTCGACCTTGAACACATTCAAACAAATAAAAAAGAGAGATGTGATCTTTTCAGACTCTCTTTCTGTATTACAAACTCTTAGCAATAGAAATATCGAAAATATTTTCATTCGTAATACATTAATACTATATCATGAACTTGCTTTTAACTTTCGTATTGCTTTTTGCTAATGACCTTTTATGTGCTGAGGTCGTAATGATAATAATATCCTGTTTGGAAAATTGGAATATAAAATCTGTTACCCTATGTCTTCAAAGACGGGAGAGCGTATGACTTGTAGTGCACAAACGCATCATAGCCAAGTGTGTATGTGTGCTGAATCTAGGGATTATGAAACTGATCTGCATGCTTGAGTCCTTATTTCAAACAGCTCATTTAAAGTGTGTCCCCATTCTGAAACAGCAAGTTAAATCTTGGTACCAAACTAAGCAGAATTCATGTCCATCTTCCTGTACATTTTGTAGCTACATATGTAGAGCTTAGCAATAAGAGCATGCATTTGTTTTCATGCGGGGGTGGAACTTTATTTCTTTCGAGCTTTCCAGCTAATATGTTTGTCTCTTTCTTAAGATCTGAACAACTTCATCATTGTCAGCGGGAAGAGCTATACGATAAAAAAGATGAAGCAAAATAAATAATTTCCTTAATAATGTACCATCACACGACTAAGGCTTGCTGAACCCCGGGGGATTAAATTGTCCACAAACATCCACATAACATCCACAAACTGTCTATACAAACTGTGTACATAACATCCACAAACTGTTTACATAACATCCACCAACTGTTTATACAAACTGTATACATAACATACACAAACTGTTTACATAACATCCATATAACATCCACAAACTGTTTACATAACATCCACAAACTGTGTACATAACATCCACAAACTGTGTACATAACATCCACAAACTGTTTACATAACATCCACGAACTGTGTACATAACATCCACAAACTGTTTACATAACATCCACAAACTGTGTACATAACATCCACAAACTGTGTACATAACATCCACAAACTGTTTACATAACATCCACAAACTGTTTACATAACATCCACAAACCGTGTACATAACATCCACAAACTGTTTATACAAACTGTATACATAACAACCACAAACTGTGTACATAACATCCACAAACTGTTTACATAACATCCACAAACTGTTTACATAACATCCACAAACTGTGTACATAACATCCACCAACTGTTTACATAACATCCACAAACTGTGTACATAACATCCACAAACTGTGTACATAACATCCACAAACTGTTTACATAACATCCACAAACTGTTTACATAACATCCACAAACTGTGTACATAACATCCACAAACTGTTTATACAAACTGTATACATAACAACCACAAACTGTGTACATAACATCCACAAACTGTGTACATAACATCCACAAACTGTTTATACAAACTGTATACATAACAACCACAAACTGTGTACATAACATCCACAAACTGTTTACATAACATCCACAAACTGTTTACATAACATCCACAAACTGTGTACATAACATCCACAAACTGTTGACATAACATCCACAAACTGTTTACATAACATCCACAAACTGTTTATAAAAACTGTGTACATAACATCCACAAACTGTTTACATAACATCCACAAACTGTTTACATAACATCCACAAACTGTTTATACAAACTGTGTACATAACATCCACAAACTGTGTACATAACATCCACAAACTGTTTACATAACATCCACAAACTGTTTACATAACAACCACAAACTGTTTATACAAACTGTATACATAACAACCACAAACTGTATAGATAACAACCACAAACTGTTTACATAACATCCACAAACTGTTTATACAAACTGTATACATAACATCCACAAACTGTTTATACAAACTGTATACATAACAACCACAAACTGTTTACATAACATCCACAAACTGTGTACATAACATCCACAAACTGTTTACATAACATCCACAAACTGTTTATAAAAACTGTGTACATAACATCCACAAACTGTTTACATAACATCCACAAACTGTTTATACAAACTGTGTACATAACATCCACAAACTGTGTACATAACAACCACAAACTGTGTACATAACATCCACAAACTGTTTACATAACAACCACAAACTGTGTACATAACATCCACAAACTGTGTACATAACATCCACGAACTGTGTACATAACATCCACAAACTGTGTACATAACATCCACAAACTGTTTACATAACATCCACAAACTGTTTATACAAACTGTGTACATAACATCCACAAACTGTTTATACAAACTGTATACATAACAACCACAAACTGTTTACATAACATCCACAAACTGTGTACATAACAACCACAAACTGTTTATACAAACTGTATACATAACATCCACAAACTGTTTACATAACATCCACAAACTGTGTACATAACATCCACAAACTGTTTACATAACATCCACAAACTGTTTACATAACATCCACAAACTGTGTACATAACATCCACAAACTGTTTATACAAACTGTATACATAACAACCACAAACTGTGTACATAACATCCACAAACTGTTTACATAACATCCACAAACTGTGTACATAACATCCACAAACTGTTTACATAACATCCACAAACTGTTTATACAAACTGTATACATAACAACCACAAACTGTGTACATAACATCCACAAACTGTTTATACAAACTGTATACATAACAACCACAAACTGTGTACATAACATCCACAAACTGTTTACATAACATCCACAAACTGTGTACATAACATCCACAAACTGTGTACATAACATCCACAAACTGTTTACATAACATCCACAAACTGTGTACATAACATCCACAAACTGTTTACATAACATCCACAAACTGTATACATAACAACCACAAACTGTTTACATAGCATCCACAAACTGTTTACATAACAACCACAAACTGTGTACATAACATCCACAAACTGTGTACATAACATCCACAAACTGTTTACATAACATCCACAAACTGTGTACATAACATCCACAAACTGTGTACATAACATCCACAAACTGTGTACATAACATCCACAAACTGTGTACATAACATCCACAAACTGTTTATACAAACTGTATACATAACATCCACAAACTGTTTACATAACATCCACAAACTGTTTATACAAACTGTATACATGACATCCACAAACTGTTTATACAAACTGTATACATAACATCCACAAACTGTGTACATAACATCCACAAACTGTTTATACAAACTGTATACATAACATCCACAAACTGTTTACATAACATCCACAAACTGTTTACATAACATCCACAAACTGTGTACATAACATCCACAAACTGTGTACATAACATCCACAAACTGTGTACATAACATCCACAAACTGTTTACATAACATCCACAAACTGTGTACATAACATCCACAAACTGTATACATGTATACATAACATCCACAAACTGTTTACATAACATCCACAAACTGTTGACATAACATCCACAAACTGTGTACATAACATCCACAAACTGTTTACATAACATCCACAAACTGTTTACATAACATCTACAAACTGTTTACATAACATCCACAAACTGTGTACATAACATCCACAAACTGTGTACATAACATCCACAAACTGTTACATAACATCCACAAACTGTTTACATAACATCCACAAACTGTGTACATAACATCCACAAACTGTTTATACAAACTGTATACATAACATCCACAAACTGTGTACATAACATCCACAAACTGTTTACATAAGAACCACAAACTGTTTACATAACATCCACAAACTGTTTACATAACATCCACAAACTGTGTACATAACATCCACAAACTGTTTATACAAACTGTATACATAACAACCACAAACTGTTTACATAACATCCACAAACTGTGTACATAACATCCACAAACTGTTTATACAAACTGTATACATAACAACCACAAACTGTTTACATAACAACCACAAACTGTTTACATAACATCCACAAACTGTGTACATAACATCCACAAACTGTGTACATAACATCCACAAACTGTATACATAACAACCACAAACTGTTTACATAACATCCACAAACTGTTTACATAACATCCACAAACTGTGTACATAACATCCACAAACTGTTTATACAAACTGTATACATAACAACCACAAACTGTGTACATAACATCCACAAACTGTGTACATAACATCCACAAACTGTTTACATAACATCCACAAACTGTTTATACAAACTGTATACATAACAACCACAAACTGTTTACATAACATCCACAAACTGTGTACATAACATCCACAAACTGTGTACATAACATCCACAAACTGTTTACATAACATCCACAAACTGTTTACATAACATCCACAAACTGTTTACATAACATCCACAAACTGTTTACATAACATCCACAAACTGTGTACATAACATCCACAAACTGTTTATACAAACTGTATACATAACAACCACAAACTGTGTACATAACATCCGCAAACTGTTTACATAACATCCACAAACTGTGTACATAACATCCACAAACTGTGTACATAACATCCACAAACTGTTTACATAACATCCACAAACTGTGTACATAACATCCACAAACTGTGTACATAACATCCACAAACTGTTTATACAAACTGTATACATAACATCCACAAACTGTTTACATAACATCCACAAACTGTGTACATAACATCCACAAACTGTGTACATAACATCCACAAACTGTTTATACAAACTGTATACATAACATCCACAAACTGTGTACATAACATCCACAAACTGTTTACATAACATCCACAAACTGTGTACATAACATCCACAAACTGTGTACATAACATCCACAAACTGTTTATACAAACTGTATACATAACAACCACAAGCTGTTTACATAACATCCACAAACTGTGTACATAACATCCACAAACTGTTTACATAACATCCACAAACTGTTTACATAACAACCACAAACTGTGTACATAACATCCACAAACTGTTTATACAAACTGTATACATAACATCCACAAACTGTTTACATAACATCCACAAACTGTTTACATAACATCCACAAACTGTGTACATAACATCCACAAACTGTGTACATAACATCCACAAACTGTTTATACAAACTGTATACATAACATCCACAAACTGTGTACATAACATCCACAAACTGTTTACATAACATCCACAAACTGTTTACATAACATCCACAAACTGTTTACATAACATCCACAAACTGTTTATACAAACTGTATACATAACAACCACAAGCTGTTTACATAACATCCACAAACTGTGTACATAACATCCACAAACTGTGTACATAACATCCACAACCTGTTTACATAACATCCACAAACTGTTTACATAATGTCCACACTTCAAGCATCCTTAAGATAAACGCTGTTTACAATGATAAGATATAGCTATATAAAGGGTTGTTTACTTCTCTTTATCAGATATATAGATAATACATATATTATCTATATCAGTCGTACAACCAACACTACAGGTAGCCTCTCATCATATACGTGTGATTTCATCAAAATAGCTTCAGTGCTTCAATATGGTGACCCAGTGAACATGGATAGTGGCTTTCGCTCTTTAATAGTATCCTTCTGTTGTTCATACGTCCCATTATTTTATCATTTGAAGAAAAGTTATATTAGACACATAACATTCAATACAAAATAAGAATTAGTTGTATGAGAGCCAAAAGATAATTATACAGTATCATACAGCTGATTTGTTGTTGTCAATGATTCCAACAGCTTAAGTCATTGAAATCTATACAACAAACTGAATAACTGGGATGGTTGTATGACGCAGTGGTAACACATACGCCTATCACCAAAACGTCCAGGATACGATCTCCCGAGCTGACATAAACATGTGGCTTTCTCCCAGTACTCCTGTCACAGTAACCCCTCGCGCGCTTACACTGGGACTATAAAATGGAATTAATAAAAGCTTGTTTCGCATATGTTGTCTGTATATTCTTTATTGTTTGAAAGATTTCGGCCTACCTCTGTCGGGGAATGGACTTGGATGATGCTAGAGGATAACGTCAAAATAGAGTTAGTTAAACATTAGGAAGCTAACAGTTACTTAGAAAATAGAAAATAAATAAAATCTAGTGTTCAGACTTCCGGCGGCATTTTGAACAGATTACGTCACAAGGTTGAGAAGACGGTCTAACCTCATTATCTCGAAGTTGACGGCACCACAGAAAAACTTAGTTATTCTATCATTCGAGTAAGATTGAATGTTTAGTGTAAAATTTGGCCGGAACCGATGAATACTCCGAATTATACAAGGTCTTTCATTTATAAGAGTTCGAGATAACGACGTATTTCTGTATATTTTAAGTAGGTGAGAACACGCTTACGTCATCTTATGTGTTTGATTTACGTGCAAAAACAATACGAAGGCATCCTGCTACATTTACACAAGCCTCTGCATTGATTTCACTCTGCAGCAAATTATTTTTTATCAAAATGCGTGTAGCTATTTAAACAACCACAAACATATTGCGTAATGTTTCAATGATTCACATGAACTTTCAAAACATTAAAACGTTGAAGTGGTCTACATACACACCTTTACCCTGCCTTATTCATATGGTACCGTCAATGTTGCATGTTTCATATGCCACAACATTTATGAATAGTATTTTCAGAATTCATTCTAGATAGAGAGAAATTAAATTCGGCATCATATACCTAGCTAGATATGTTAGTTGTACGACTATGTACCGGGCAAAAAGAGGTCGTGACGAATTTCCGGATTTGAAAACAAAGCATGTGTACACTCGACAAGTCAAGCTCCATTTGACTCGTGCTAGATTCAGGTCTTTGTCTATTGCGAGACTCTGGAGTAAACCTACTCACCCATGACGACTATGTGAAGGAAACTGTGTATCCGATTTGTCCACACGTAAACAAAATGGTATCGTCTCCACACGCTAACAAACATGCATACAACAAACATGTGCAGCAAAGTCAAGTACCGACTGCTGCTGATTGCGTGTGCACAACCAATCGGCTCAGTGACCGGCGTGCTCCGGGGGAGGGGCGTGCCTTGCTGTACAATTACACATCTCATAATATATAAATTTCGCTCATAATGTTCATTACAGTTTATCTAAAGTGACTTAAAGACTCACGTGTTCTGACGTTGACATAGTTAAATTTGATAACCACATTTTCTAGTATAATACTTTCCTGAAAACTTGGAATTGTTCCCTAGGGTAAATTCTCCTCCTTCACAGCTGGTATACCGTTTAACGGAGGTTATAATACATGTGACGTTGAAAGTATATTACAGTTATATGAATAGTAAAGAATATGAAAGTTTTTTAACGACAAATTGTAATTATCACACGATCGAATGCCTGTATTGACATGAATAAATATATTTACAATTTATAATCCTACGTTTTTACTCGTTAAAATGTTAATATCATACATTCATTACGCCAGACTCGCGTACATTTATTTTTCTATTTATTTATAATTTATTTAACGAGTTTTACGTCCACTATTTCGGCCTTTCAGCGGGTGGTACATCTTTGACCAAGTGTTAAACAAAACGTAGCCGAATTGACTTCAGTACATTGTTACCATCTGGTGTCTTTTTGGTCCATAATTTGTTTACCATCTCGTCACAGCCGAAACAGTTTGTCGATTCCGTACCACCTTGTACACAGTGTAGGTCAGTACTGGTACATTCCACACCGATCATTATCCTATGAAGGTTTAAAGTTTACAAAGATTGTATTTCACCCTTTTACATTTTAATGTTCCTGTAGAACGACATGCTTTTACATAAAGTCGAGAATTATTATGTTTGTTACTTGATCTGAAACGTCAGAACAATGAACACATATCAGAATATGCTTCCTCCAATTAAAAAATGCCGTAGTTCAGGTTTATACCATCATCATTCAACAATACAAGTGTCTAGACATCGTACAGCGAAATTAGAATATATTCCTCGGGTTACTCTGTTTTACTGTTTTACCTCGCGTTTCATATTACTTATTCACAATAAGCGAGCAAGTGCCATCCCCATACTGGTACAGTCATTAAATGTCATCCATATTGTTCACTCCTCAGTTTATGCTTTAAAAAAATTAAAGAAAATGTTAGTGCAAACTTTGTTTTAATTAACTCAATCCAGATCATCTCCATCTATCACCTCAGTTATCCTATATGCATACCTAGAATATCAATGCTTATGTTAGGTAACAAGTCTTGTTATGTCAGTTGGGAAACCCGATGTTGCCGTAAGGTAAGTAGGCAACCCAGCCGGCACAGGTTCGAATCAGTCACGTATGTACCCGAATCCAGATAAATTTTGTTGCCGGAGACACCACTACTCGCCACTCTCTGAGGTGTGAGACTATATACGATAAGACTTATTAATGCAGGGTTCAGCGTTATTTCGAAAACAGTCTTGTAATCATCGATCAATTTTGATATACCTATGATCGCAATTTAGTAATAACTACACGAGTTTCCACTTTAATTTTCAATCCGTAACATAAGCCAACCATTTTTTACTAGAACAGTATCACAACCTACTACCAAACACTATATAGACAATCCCATGTATTTCTACTATAGTCTTCAGGTTGTGTTTTGTTCCATTTCACGGACTATTACGATAACGACCTTCTTCTATACATAACTGATGGGATGAAAGCCGTACATTAGATATAAGTTTAAAATACGCATCTGGGATTGACTTTGTTAAATAAAATTGTAATGTAAATCTAATAGGAATTTATAAAAAAAAAAATCATTTTGACGACCGCTCTGTTTGAAACAAGGTAAAAATACCTGTTTATTATCAACATTATGACTTAACCAGACGTTACAAAATCAGCCGACAACCATAGTGTGGATTGAGGTTTTGTAAACTTACAATTAAAATTAAGCAAGACACCAAGAAATTAAATTCGTCAACAAGTTCTATTTCACTATTATTGTATTATATTCCAAACAGGAATATCTCTTAAAAATAAAACGTCACATGAAGTATTTATAAGTTCATTTTCAAGGTCATCTACATACATGGAATAAAAGAAGGGAGATAACCCCTCTCTTTGCATCAATCTTCGTGAGCATGTAAAGGACAATTCAGACTTATCCTCAACACAATTAACACTATCGAAGGTGTTACTATAGTCAACAAAACAGCGATAAAACTTATAGTTATTAGAAAGCACTTATTAATTACACCACGCCAAGCAAAAACAGCATCATATGTTCCAAAACCAGACTTAAATACGAACTGAGAATCGGTAACACTGTTGTACCTCTGAGACTATTCTAGTAGTCTGTTATTTAAACGGATGTAAATAATTTAGATAAACAACTTACCAAAGTGATCCCTCTATAATTATTTGTATCACTGGTATCACTTTTTTGAACAAAGGAAAAATAATACGCTTTGACCAGACCGAGGGGAAACGCTTATATACAGAATAACATTAAATAATTGTGACAGAATAGGAGCGAATGTTTAGAAGAAAGTTCGATAAAAAATCGTCAAGAATGTTATCGTTGCCGGGAGATTTACCTAATTTAGCACGTTTTAATGCATTGGTTACTTCAGTATTTGTAGAATCTAACTCGTCATATACCTGTAAATTATCGTAGTCTGGCAAATCTGATGACACATCAACAAAAGTATTAACGTCATCCCGACTATTTACTGCTTTGAAATGTTTAAAAAAAAAAGTCACCAATATTTAAATGATTTCTCGTACAATCCGTTTTTTTAAATGATAAAAAAAAATTTGGATCTTCTACGTAAGAGAGTTATATGGTCACCTTTTGGTCTTAAGTATTTACGTTTAACCCGCCTTTCATAGTGTTTACACTTACGCTTGGAAGAAAATAAATAAATTGTGACGATACAAGTTGTAAAGACGTCTCTATATTTATCATAAGCCGCCAGGGTTTATGAACACAATGTCTTACTTCATTTACTGTATTCAGGGTATAATATCATACTTCAAGTGACCCCATTATTCGCACAGACGGCAATTTATTTTGAGCACATGTAATTCCAAACACAGGGGAAAATAATTCAATAGTATGAAAGTTACCCTATAGCGGCCTCCATGACGGTTAGTCGACTCTTTAAACGTTCTGTTAAGATACTTTCACAAATTCGATCCTATGGATTTGTAGTACCGGAGTATTTCTTAAACATAGCATATTTTTTTTGTTTTTCTATTACAGATGAAATCATATACATTTAACAGTAATGGGCGTCTGTCGTTTTAACTCGTTCATGTTGCAAAATATTGCCACTTTATATTACTGTATATCAGTGATCAATTAAGACAAAGTTATGTCATGTTACCGACACTCAATGTAACAGTGTTATATATACCACAGAAGTTGATATGATGAGATTATTTATATATCCCAAACGGCAGCATGTTAAACGATTAAATTGATATATGTTTCGGCGTGACTTTAAAACCATAACTACAACCATTTGGAATTCTAATCGGAAACTTCTATCAGTGTTAAGTTGTACATGGATAGACGAGAAAATGTTTCTATACTCGTCAGCACTTTTAATGCAAATATTTGCACATCCTTTTGTGTACTTTTAAACACTACCTTTAGCTAGCAAAAGAATTTAATGGATGGTGAGGGCTGTGCAGGTGAATTTTTTGAGTTTATGAATCGTGACCACAACTAAGAAATATTCAGTTATTTTTCAGTGTCTTTTTTTTTAAATATGCAGTATCTTCCTTGATTAAAATGTATGAAGCACCCATTACCACATCTTAAACCGGTTCCATCTATCGAACACGGATATGACTGACTCTGATTGCCCAGTCTTTCTTCTAGGATATCCAAGGTATCGTTTGACAATGACACAGGGACGACGTAGATGTAGAATTTAGTTTTGAACAACGCATATCATTTCTCCTAATCTACAATTCACACAAGAAGGTCATTTAACAAAGTTCTTTTACATGATAACTACACATATTGATTTCATTTTACGTCGAAATATACTCACCCATACTGTAATATTGACTGTCCAATGTGCCACGGACGGACTGTGCAGATAGATTCGTCGACAGTACCAGTACACGTGTGCCCCACGTAGGCCGAGCCAGGGAGCTATAAACTGGATGAACACAGGTAATCGCGACGACCGATATCTTACAGGCTAGAGTTTGCTATGTAAATAGAAATACCAAGATTATATAGGCCGCAGGTAGGTTATTAATAAGACTACAGAGGACATTTTCGAAAACAGAGCAATCGACCATTGTGCCTAACATCGTAGACACGTATTTAATTTAAGTGTGTATTGCAAAAACTGTTTCATTTTGTTAAATGATATTAAAAACAGTGTTTATATTGTGTTTTTTCTTCTTACGAATCAAGCGATTGATGAAAGTATCAATTGGGCAGGTAGCACAATTTGCAACAGCTATAAGTAGTTGAATATTTCGAAATTTTACGATAATACATGTGTATGAGTTCATAGCCTATTTGACCTTTGTTGAACTCATTTTTATTCAACCCTTTTTCTGTTAGGCTGTTTAACAGATGGATGCGCTTGGAAAAACACAAGTTATGAGGTCTTGAACAGGTGTATCAACTTTCTGCGCACGAAAACAAACTCTACAGACAGTATCAGGCCACTGCACACTTTGCACGCCTCCTTTTGATGTGCTTTTAACTATTTTATGGACACCTGATTAAATTATGCAATCAATAGCCTACGGTATTTTAGGAATTTGTCCAGAATTTTATAGCAATGTGAAGACACATGTCTACTCTTTACAATATTGTAGAAGAAAAGTCTGTGATGTCATTCGTGTCGTAAGTAGTTACTCAAAGTGGAATACCCGAGAAAAACAAAGTGACACTTCAGTAGTGACATTTCAGTACCTGGTGTGGGGAACCCTTGTCCGAATCCCTGCATGGATTCTCATATGCATTGAATTTAT